CACACACACACACACAGAAGGGAGGAGAGGAAATTTTCTCCTCTCCATCTTCATCCCAACACCTCACCTTAACATGCTCCTGCATCTGGGCTTCATGTTGTCGTGATAGCTGTTCATGTTGCCTCTGAAACTCTGCGATGAGTAGCTGCCTCTGGAGCTGCTGCTTGTGTTTAAGAGCCACCAGCTCCTGCTGCAGGTGCTGCTCCTGCTGGCCTGTGGGAGGTTTTTTGGAGACGCGATTACTCAGCGCATCTACATCTACGGGCTGGAATGCCGCAAGATAAGCGGAGACTTACTAATGACTGGTCCGCGGCCTGTCTCAGTAGACGTGGAGGTGGGTGGCGTGGGGTGGGGTGGAGGAACCAAGCCAAAGGAGGGCTGCTGCTGGTGGTGGTGAGCGTGGTCCACTATGCGCAGATCCATGGGAAGGATGGCTGTGGCGGTGGAGGGCAGCGCCGCTGTGCTCACGTCCACTGAAACAGCAGGGAGTCAGAAAATTTTATTATATGTTCACATTAAATTTGTAATTATTTAAAGATCATCTTAAATTCATTTAATAGCAGCCAAAACATCATGTCCTCTTTGATCCAAATGAGACAGACGGACACTTGTTACATCAGATGTCCAAACTCTCTGGCCGTGCCAGCTGCACTCATCATTACACTTCATAGTGCTCGCGGCTGCTTGTAACGTTAGCACTGAGAACCTAAGTCTGTTTTTATAGCTGTACACAGCAGATAAGAGCATTAGGGACACAGCGAAAGCATAAAATGTGTCTGAGATTTTGAAAGCCGGAGATCATCAGAGCATCAGTGTAAGCGGCAGAGGAAGAAAATGTGTTTATGTAAATCCATACAAACATCCGAGAGCGAAAACACCGCCCATCCCACCCCAACATGAATTTCACAGCAAGGATTTGTGCGTGTCTGCGTTTCGGTTTGTTACCGTGTGTGTGTGAGCAGAACTGCTTGTGTCGCAGCCGTCACAACTTCAGACGTGCCACTGTAAAGAAAAAGGTCGCAGGAATCGACTTTTTAAACCTCACGACAAGGTGTTAAAATATTAGCAGGCAGGAATAAACCGTAAAGACCCATCTGTTTTTGTTGCTTCCTTTATGATTTACTCAGTCTGCATCATTTAATCTGCTTTATATGAATAATCCAGCGAGGTCGCACAGGGCCCCGTGATAAATGAAAGGTAATGCCCTGCTTCAACACCCCTGCTTGTCATGCAACGGCTCAGGGTACGAGTGCAATCAGATTAGTTCTCTACAAGCAAACAACACAGCAGCTTACACACAAAAAGTAGCACACCAGGGAAACGAGAAAAAAAAAAATTCTGTGCCTTGATCTTTGAATAAAACATGCTGTGATCAAACACCGTTAGCACGCTACTCCTTTCAATCCAAATTGCAGATTCAGTTTATGAAATAAACCTTTTATCTATGCAGTGTTGCAAGTAAATTCTGACTTATACATCAAAACCTCATGTGCACCATTTGGTCTACTCGGATCAATATCTGCTGCGTGGAGAAGCAGCTTGCACCACGCCGAGCCCTCCACCAGCGATCAATAACCTAAAACCAGCGCGAAGGCTCCCCAGCCTATCGTGGATGTTCTGGCATCCCAGGTGGCCAATGAGGTGACGATGAAGTTGCAGTTACTTGCAGGAAAGGTCCAATGACATCTTTGGTACTGGGCAGGTTTTCAGTGCGGGGAGAAACTTGACACCACCCAATGGGACAGCATGGGAGAGAAGAAGGGTGTGGCTAGGCCAGACTTGCTGGTGCTTCGCTGGTGCACACGTGTGTGTGTTTGGTTGTATCACTGCTCTTGTAGGGACTTGTTTATAGGCTGGACATTAGAAGTTCTGTTAAATCCTTCAGTTGGAAAAGATGAAAAGGACTAGGCTTAGAATTAATTAGACGAGGGTGGAGGTTTATTTAAAGACTTAAGAGTTTACCATCCAGCTGCGCCACTCTTGCTGCTCATAACGCCAGGTGAATTTAGCAGCATTTACTGTGACGGGTGAGTCATCTGCGTCTGCATGCAGGAGCCTCATTAGAGGACCACAGTGACTGCCACGTTGAGTGTAAAGAGTCGGTCCCAATCAACCATGTTATCCAAACAAAGCCAGCCGCACTGAACCATGTTCAAACTCAGCCCCCTTCTCACCTCTCACGCAAACATTTACACAAACATGTCAGCTGTTTACACACACATTTAATAAGCAATAAACATCAAAACAAAACATTTTGTTTGACCATCAGTGGTGACAAACATGAATGGAGCCGAACCTCAATTACTGCCTCCTCAACTGTAAATTTTCTCACATGAACTTAGGTGAGTGGCACAAATGTCCTGTAAACAGGCCTCTGGCACACGCTCTGAAACACACACGCACACACACACACACACACACGATCCCTTCACAGCAAAGTACAAATTCAGCTATCCAAACTTTCATGCAACCCTATGGAATCCTTAGATGTTTATTACTAAACAATAAAACAACAAACGCAGCTGTCTTGCATGACCTGAAATGAGATATGAAGTAACTCGTGTTTTCGCAGCACAGATTAGTAAACTAACACATGAAACTTATCAGACACACACGTTTTGCCAACAAGCTGACACTTAATGCCACGATTCACAGACAAACACAGCAGAGCGAGTTTCTCAGCCAAAAACACGCGCCAAAGAACCAAAATCATTTATAGCCAAAAACGGTGCTAAAACTGTGCCACAGCAGTCCCCCTCTCCCCACCTCGGAGCAGCTGGTCCTGAATATACTCTTGTCCCTGTAATGCATATTCCTTTGTGCGGTTTGTGTTGTGCAAACAGTGTTTTAGAAGCACTGGGTTACCTCTGTGTGTCTACATGCGAAGCAATTTTAAAAGCCAAATGCCTTTGTATGTTTTATTATGTTAACATGGCCGGCCACTTACGAAGCTGTGATCAATGGCCAAGTGCAAGGCTAAAGCCAGGCAGCAAAATAAACTAATTACAGCTACTTATCCTCAAACTGAGGGGCTACTAGTGCCGACGGCCAGGAAGAGACAGAGATGGAGAGAAATAGGGAGGCGGTGTAATAATCATCGCTTCGACCAGCTACTCCGAGGCTAACCTCACTGGGCTGCCACATTAAGACTGCACTGAGAGCTATTGCTGGCTACAGATTGTGTTGTTAGCTACACAAAGAGACGCAGGAAGATAAATAAGGATTATGTACCAACACAGTCTATACCCAAACTGCACAGACTCGGAGAAGTTGTTCCAGTGCCCAGAGAGAATGTTTTTGCTCCTATGGTTTCATGAGAGAAGATGCACTTAAGACTGTAATGCTGTCAGGATTGTGTATCTTTAGGGGCTGAAACTATTTTCTTTAATTATCCAGACACAATTATGTTTTGGATCATTAAAAAGAGGGCTGTCAAAAGTTTGGAGCTCCAAGGAAACATATTTGCGTCACTAACAGTTCACAGTCAAGCTGGCACGGCTCTCAAGGATCGCAGTACTGTTACAGTTGCACCGTGACGAAAACACCAGCAGCTCTCCTAATAACAAACCTCAGAGGCATGTTTATAGTAAACAAAGCCTTGTCAATGGCGGCAGACAAACAGGGCGACATACAGCCCTGGGAGAAGCCACCTGTGAAGTAATTAGCCCAGCTTACACTGATCGCACTGTGTGAATATGGCATTGGCTTACGGGGAGGAGAGGTGCTTTCATAACAGCTGACTCACCCCGACAACAACGGACGTGATAATGCAAAGATTCTCGCTGCAGATTTGGATGAGCAATTCAGAATGAATGCTAACAGATGCTTCCTGAAATAAAGGAATAAAAATACTAGTGCTATTATTACGCACTGATTTCTATCTCGAGCGTATGTGCACGTGTGGAGGCTACTGCTGCGGCTCTTGCAACCTCGTTGCACAAAACACTGCAAATTATAGTCTAGTGCAAATTAAGTCTTTTTTCGAATAATTCACAAATTGGCTGTAAATGTCCTTAAGCCCCAGGACGTCTCTTTAAAACTATAAAAGGCAAACGTAAGATAAACTCTGGTCGATCTCAAGACAGGAAATTGTGTTTACTTTGTAGAAATCGTTCAGGATGGAGAGTTCATGACTACGGCCTGACTGAAAGCAACGGAACCCAACATAAACAAAACTCTTGACATGCCAGGCTCTGCCTCCTCTTCTCTCTCTCTTATCTCCTCATTCATCACCGTGTCCCTCAATGTACCCCTCCCTCCTTCCGCTCATCATCACCCCCCCAATCAGGCTAAGATTATGGATCACACAGAGTTATTTATAGACGAGGACTCCCAGAGGAGTTCCTCGCCCCACTGGGCTCCTGTGCACTCAGAAAACCCCATGCATGTTTACTCACAGCTTATGAGAAACTAAGAGTGCAAACTCATTCACAGTTCCAACAGAATGAGCAAATGTCAACACAAGCCTCGCAAATTTAGAATGAACAGCAATCGCTGACATAATGTCAACCCGCTGCGAGCCCAGCAGACTCAGGTGCTCACAGAGGAGGGAGGCAAACACCATGGTGACTGCTGGCACTGTGGCCGGTGGTTGGTCGGACAGTGGAGAAGGGGCGGGGCTTGAGGTGGAGGGTGAACCAATGACGGTAGGCAAGCGATTCAACAAACGATCTGCATGTGCATTTAGCTCAGTGCTTTACTGTCAAGTCCGGGGTGGGTGGGTGTGACTGTTGATGTATGCCTCTGCATGTCCCAGTAGCATGGTAACATAGCCACCAAAAACCTGTGGGTTTTTCCTGCTTCCTCCTTTCTCTAGCAATATTTCCCCAGATTAACTTATAAAAAAATAAATTAAAAAAATGCATTTAGTACTAAAGTGTTCTCGTTAGGAGACAAAGAGATACAAAAAGTGTTTACTGGCACTTTTCAAAGAGCTTATCAAGCTGTGTCACAGCACTGTGATTTTAAATGTCAAAGCTGGAGTAAACTGAGATAAATTAAAGACCCCACATGTGATCCAAGGCAGACAGCAGCAGCGTCAAATGGTGATACGGGATGCAATCTAACATTCAGTCCTTTCTGTTTATATGTCGAGCAGTAGTCCCAGTGAGCTTACACACTAACTTCCATGCATTTTGCTCCACACATGCACGCAAATGCACACTTATGTGCACAATAGACTGTGCAGAAGGACAGACGCAGCCACTGCCATCTGCTCCATTCAGTTAAAGGCTGCGCTGAGCGAGCCTCCATACATCAGTGCCATTCAATAAACACTGCCACTACTCCGAGCCGCACACCCACACGCACAGCAAATGAACACGCACACACACGAACATGCACTCACTCCTTAAGTGAACATATATACGTAACACAGCAACACATCCACAGGCAAAACGAGAGTCTGCATAAACAAATGCACGCCTGTTGATCACTTAATGTACAATCAGCACACTGTGCACAGAATAAACTC